GATATGTATCAGATTCTCAGAATGAGAATGTTCTGGATCATTTGATAGTTTTTGGAGGAGGCAAGGAAAAAAAAGGAAGTAGACTCAATTTTAAGATGGCACATTAGCATGAGTGGGGAAGTGCCCCCACCAAGCTCATAATGCACAAGACGAAGGCCTCGGTGTTCTACACAACGTACTCCACGCTAGTCAGTGCTGCCTCCAAATGGAACACGAAACCTTCACCATTCACTTTGCAGGAGTCATCCAGCCTTTTTCTACCATGCAGTGGGTCTTTGCTGAGCAACACTACAGCACCAGCAGTGGAGGTGTGGGACCAGAGGGTCCATTTTCAGTCAAAGTGAAGCAGTCACACATCAGTCTGGCTTTCCCTGGCCCTGTCCTTCATTTTATAAAAAAATGCCAATCCTTGCCTACTTCTCCCAACACTGACTGCTCTGTATTAAGGGAACCTGGAAGATACACTAACAGAATATCTTTAGGGGCCATTTATGGCCTTGGAGTCAGGGATTCTCACCCCATAGTTCATGCTCCATAGGCCGCTGCCCATTCGTTTCTTGTGGCTGCTGACACTCAGTTCATTCTTGTAATTCTCTCACCCACACTTGTAGACACGTGCATTCGCTGCCCCAAATTCCTTTTCCTATCTTTGTATTTAAAATGTAAGATAATCTTGGGATGAAATATGGTGAGCATCTGTATCAAACATGGGAGCCCCTCCTTTCCTCTCATAGCATCCCTTACCCTCCATCCAGAGTGCCTGGTGTCAAGAGTTCACTCTGAACCATAAGGCAGGTGCCCTGGGGTTCAGGAGTAACTGTGAAAGGACAGACAACTTCTGTCATGCACAAAAGGCTCCAACACAATCATAAGATAAGTAGCTAGTGTTCTGGAGCCTGGCTGAGCAACTGAGTGTTCCTCTTCTCTTGTGCATGCCTGCTGCTTGCTGGGAATGAACCTCACAACCTTGAGACTAGGACAGGCTTCTACCTAAGAAACACAATCTTCCCTCCAGGTTGCTGCGGATCCCCAATGTTGCAGGAATGCAGGGGGTCCTAGAGATCATCATCCTGGTTGACAGCAGAGCCCATGGATGTGGAAAGTCCTCTTGAACAACAGCAGCTGCCCTTTCCCTGACCTGCACTGACCCAAGCACAACCCCAGCTTCCTGAATACATCATTAGCTTCTGCACAGCATGCATGGGAGGGTGATAGGACTGCTTCGCTTTACACATGAAGAATCCACAGCTTGGAGAAAGGAAGTAAGTGGCCCCAATGTTACCAAGCAAGTCAGTGGCAAACCAGTATTCCCAGTCACATGTGATGACACGGCTTCTGCTCTTAACCACTGGGTAAGCTGCCACCTGCTCTATCGCTTCTCTTTTGTCCCCTCTGGGTTAAAAGATCTTTGCGGAAGCAAAATGTTTACAGCCCAGGGTTTTGTTAGTAGAAATATCAGCTGTGGTGGCTTCCTTTACTGCGGATGACACTGGGGTCTGAAGGCTTAAATCATACAAAGCTCACTCATGAGCAGACAGCAGACTTGAACCCTAGTTCTCAGGATGATGCCCCCACACTGATTGGGGATGGTGAATGCGAATCATGGAGTCTCTACCAGTTTTCATGGGTTGCAGTAACAAATTACCACAAACTGGATGGCTTGAAACAACAGAAATGTATTCTCCAATGGCTGTGGAGGCCATAAATGTCAGCAAGGCTATGACCCCTCTGTAGGTCCTAAGGGATGACCCTTCTAGCTGCTGGTGGAGCTTGGCATTCATTGGTGTAGAGCTGCCTCCATCTTCACATGGTCCTCTCCCTTGTGTCCCTGTGTGCCATCTCATCTCTTTTTTTTTTTTTTTTTTTGAGACAGAGTCTTGCTCTGTTGCCAGAAGCGACAGAGTGCAGTGGTGCAATCTCAGCTCACTGCAGCCTCTGCTTCCCAGGTTCAAGCAATTATCCTGCCTCAGCCTCCCAAGTAGCTGAGACCACAGGTGCGCACCACCACACACGGCTGATTTTTGTATTTTTTAGCAGAGATGGGGTTGCACCATGGTCTCAATCTCTTGACCTCATGATCCGCCCACCTTGGCCTCCCAAAGTGCTGGGATTACAGGCATAAGCCACCATGCCTGGCCCCTCTTCTTCTTATAAGGACATGAGTTATTGAATTTGGGGCTCATCTTAATCCAGTATGACTTCATTTTAACTACTTGCATCTGCAAAGGTTCTCTTTCCAAATAAAGCTACATTCTGAGGTTCTGGGTGGATATGAATTTGAGGAAGACTCAATCCAACCTGCTACACTATCTAAAGCAAAGCCATTTCTCCTACCCCGCCACTTGGCCTGCCAGATCAGTTTGGCTCTGATGAACCTCCCTGGGCTGACAATTTCAGAAGAAAGGATGACATGGTCAAAAGTCTTTCAAAGTTCTATTGAAATTCACAGCTAAAGAGAAATCTCACCACCAGCCCCAAATCTAATCTATGCTCCTACTGGCGATAATTCCCAGAGCTCCATCCCATAGGGTAAGTCTGTGGACCTGCAGAGGCTGCATGCTGGAGCTCTTGCAGTCACTCTGTCACCTCTGGCTCAGGGACCTGGGATCCAGGCAGGAGGAAAAATGGCCACCCCAGGAACAGCTGTGTCAATGTGGCCAGGGAGTCCTCTGAGATGGGAAGTGAGTTCTCTGAGATAGGAAGTAGGGGGTCTTATCTCCCTTCTATGGGCCTCTTCTACCTGTCTGTAAAATGAGGAGCCAGTTTTTTGACTAAGACATTTCTGACTATGAAATGACAGAAAGGGTATCACACTCAGTCCATCCAGCCTGGAGGGTCACCTTACCAACTGAGGCCAAGATCCGTGAGGGGTGGGAACTTCTGAAGAGTAGAGTCCAGCCCCTCCTCCTCCCATCCCTGTGATCAATCCAGTAAGAAACAAGTAGCAATCCAGTTTCCCAAACCCCAAAGCATTTCATAACAGAGAGAGCAAACAGAGAAAAGATGGCCCTTTATGTGAAGGCAAACTTTTTGTCCATTTAGGATTTTTCCTGCTTCCTGAGCCTTGGGACACATTTAGCACATATGCACCCCACACAGCATAGAAAGGGCTTGGTGATGTATTTGCAAGCACTTCCATATACTATTTATTTTACTTACTGAAATATCATTTCTGTCTGGGAAAGATAATGGGTATGGTTGGCTTTTATGCTGTTGGCACTTCCCCCCGTAACATAACCCCTCCCTATAAATCTACGGTCCATGGCCTGACTTCAGAAAACACTTTAATAGTCCCCAACTCCACTGTTTTCCATAGCCGTATATTTTCATGTCAAGAATACTGAAGTGCAGAGGCTTGAATTCATCAAACAGAACTCATCAATACGTTGAAATTGGGGTTAGGAGCTTAATCTCCAGGAGAGATCCTGGAGAGCAGATGGACCCGCCACTGCTCCCCATCACTCCCATCTCCAGGAACTGGCAGGGTCTGGGCTGTCAGGAGGGAAGGGAACAAGGGATCACCCTCACTATCAGCAGCAGCAACCACAGAGCCCTTGACTCTGCATATATGGTACTTGCTTAGTTCAGTCCAGCAAGGTTCAGTCCAGGACCAAACCCACGGTACTTGTTTTACAAATGGGGAACCAGGCTCAGAACACTGCCTGGGGCAGCAGACTCAGCTCGCAGCTCCTCTGCCAGGCCCCACAGAGGGAATGGAGAGGCGAGTGCCCCAGTGTGCTGAGGACACAGAGCAGCTCCACCCTTGGAGGATAATTCAGTGGAGTCTGCTTTCTTGTTTTACAAACTGGGAACCGGGCTCAGAGCAGCAAGATTCAGTCCAGAACCAAACTCATGGTACTTGCTCAGTTCCCACTATCATGCAGCCCAGTGCCATGCATCATTTCATTACATGGCCCCAGTGAGCCGCTTCTGTCTCCATTCCATGTTCATCTTGAAACAGGACTGAAGTCTATCCCACAAAGCAAATCCAACCTCATCCAGTGCAGCAGTACACTCAGCAAGACAGATATCACTGAAGATTTTGGAAAGGACTGCATCATATGTCACGCTGCAATCTTCCTTTAAATCTTTCTTGGACAACTCTTCAGCTGCAGCTGTCTCATCTCTCTCTCTCCTCTTCTTCCTGCTTTGCTCATGAAGAACATTTTAACTCCTTCCTTATCATCTGTCAATCTCAGCAACAAGAGCATTTGTTGGGAGGCAGTGGGAGATTTGAAATGACCTCCACCATAACAACAAAAACTACATACAGTTGGCCTAATTTTTGTTTGTTTTCCTCTCTACAGATGGAAAGCTGAGGCTCAGGCAGGATGAGCAATTTGTGGAGGTCACAGAGCTGGACAAGGAGCAGAGACAGGATCTGAGCCCAGTGCCCCCAGACCTCTGCTCTTGCCAAGCTAGAACCTGGAAACAAAGTGAATCAGGGTTTCTGAGTTTCCGTCATTTCTGAGGGTATTTTTAAGGCCTGCCACTAGATGCACACATCTTTAGTTTGGGTCAGCATACCCAGGAATAAAATTTTTCTGAGCACATTTCTAATGTATCCAAGAGAGTAAACAGGAACAAAATTGCTTGGGTAACAAAGCTGGGGTCACTTTCAAAGTTCTCATTTACAAATAAAAAGTAGGGAGCTGAAGGGAAAGAACTTGAAAAACGACAAGATTCCTGGCCAGGGAGACCCTAGACAGGTTACCAACCCCCCAAGGGCCTTAATTTCTCATCTGCAAAATGGAAGGAGTTGACAATGGTTTATTCCAGCTCAAAACTCTTGGTCTAGTTCAAATACCTTTGTACATAATTCTTAAGGTTTATCCCCAAAAAGCCAAATCCCTGGCATTGTATACATTCATTTAACAAAAATATCCACAGCTACCATTTACTGAGCATAAAATACGTGCCACATACTTTACCTGCAGAAACCTGAGTCTCAGAACAATCCTATGACGCAAGGATTGCCACCCCATTTTATAAATGACAAGACAGAGGTTGGAAAGGTCTGGCTATAAGCCAAGATTTGGGCCTTCACCCAAGTCCTAAGTTCTCCACCAGTCAAACCGCCATGAGACTCAAAACTAGCAGTCCTGTTCTGCCAACCAGCTGCCAGTCAGAGCCAGCTGCAAGGGGTGCAGGAGTACCCAGCTCCTGCCTACAGCCTGAGCTGCAGAGTGTTGCTGGTGACTAGCTGACACTGAGGCCAGGCCAAGACTGCCTGGGGGCTGCAGAAAACTCATTTAACACCCTCAGTGCTCTCCGGAAAAAAGAAAACCTTGCTTCATTTGGTGAGCGGGGGATTAAAAAACAGCCACCCAGCTGACGTGGGTCCTGCCTGTGCTCAGTCGAGGGCTCCCTGGGGAAGGCAGCATACTTCGCAGGCTGCCCTCATGTGTGAGGGACAGACACAAGAAAAGGCAGAAGATGGGCACCCATGCCACAGGACACCCACACTGCAGAACACTCCCACCTCCATGCTCAGACTCAAAACATCGTTTTAGTCATAACCATGAAGCAGCTGGCATTCAATCAGGGCTAAAGATGCCTCAGGAAGTGTGGCAAGGGCTCTGCATACACTCTCGCATTGAGCCCTCACCATTCTACCAAGCTGGTGACATTATCCACCCCCATTCTGCAGAAGAGGTAACTGAGACCCAGATTGGCTATGTTATGCAATTAGCAGAGCTGGGGTTCAAACCCAGGCAGTTTGGCTTCAGAGGCTGAGAATTTAACCTCCTTGTTGGCTGCTTAGAAGCAACTGTAGTCCCCCACAGAGCCCTCCCTGCCACTGTGAGATGGGACAGAGGGAGGCAGTGGGGCCTGCAGTGCTTTGGCCCTGTAGCCTGGTGCCAGACGGAGGACACACCCAGGCTCAGTGCTTCCAGCCTGGGCACTTTTCCTGAGAGCCAGACTCCTGCCAAGAAGCAGCAGTGCCTGAGTGAGTGGAGCGGGGAGGTGGCAACGCGAGGCGCAGTGTCTAGGGAGAGCCTCCCGGTAAACAAGGAGTCTGCTCGGAGCTCCCCTGGGCCTGTAGCCACCATGAAGGGGGCTGGGGCCCAAGTGGAGCGCCTCCTGGGGCAGCAGACTCAGCTCACAGATCCTCTGCCAGGCAGAGGGAATGGCGAGGCGATGCCCCAGTGTGCTGAGGACACAGAGCAGTTCCACCCTAGGAGGATCATAGAGTGGAGTCTGCTTTCTTGTTGTACAAATAGGGAACTGGGCTCAGAACTGCAAGGGTCAGTCCAGGACTAAACTTGAGGAAAGTGCATTTCTGTGTTTCAGAGGTTCCCACCTGCTCTCAGTGCATGTGTATGGGCCTCGTCGCTCTGCTCTGAACTGTTAAGTTCTCCTCTGTCTACTCCACCCCCCGACTCCCTGCTACGGCCATAACTTAGGCAGAAACCTAACAAGCCTAACAAGGCTCCCAGGTGTGCATCGTGGTGGGAATTAAGTGGTTTTTATGAGGTTTGCTCGCTCCTGATCTGAGCCTCCCCTGTCTATGCCTCCAGAGTCGCAGGGGTGCAGGATGCAGCAGCAGCCACCCTCTACGTGGCCTCCCGCCCTGCAGGCGACTTCCACCTGCAAGACAGCCTCTCCTCTCACTGTCCTGGGCCTGGTTACCCTTCCCCTGGGGATGAGATCAGTGAAACTGACCCACTGATTTGGAGTGAGTGGCAGTGTCCAGGAGCCGAGGTGGGATAACCAGTGGGGCCGGGAAAGCAGGGGACTCCCAAAGAAGAGCAGAGGTCTTCACGGAATGCTGAAGCCCTGTCCCCCTAATTTTGCCTCACTTTCTTCCCCCAGTCAACACCTTTACTATACTAGAGAGGCAACGGTAGGACCATGAAGACATCACCCCTGGAAAGGCTCACACAGGGACTAAGGGAGTCTGCTTGTCTCCATACGTCCTGTTCAGAGCAACTCATTCTGGGCCTATCTAGAGAGGCTCATGTCCTAGCTCCCATGGGACCAAACAGGAATTAAGGATAAAACTAAAATTCTACAAGTCACACCAGCATCTGCCCCCTTGTGCAAGCCGGTCCAGCAGTGCTATGTAACACTTGCCTGCCACCCCCGCTCCCAGCCCATTCTCTACACAGCAGCACTGTGGGTGAAACGAGGTCACTCTCCTGCCCAGCCCTCCCAATTGCCTCCAGCAGGGCCGGCTGGAGCCTTACCAAACAGCCCTTGCCGGCTCATTGTGCAGCCACCCCTCCTGCGGCGCAGAGTCTCCGGGCCTGGTTCAGCCTCACAGCATTTGTGCTGTCTGGTCCTCTCTCTCACATGCAGCTCTCCCTATTCCTTGATTCAGTGGACCCCTCTCCTGGGCAGCTTGCCTCCATCTCCAGAGTCAGGCTCTTTGCTCTTCTGCAAACCCTTACTTGCACATTGCATGTGAACTTGTCCCCGCACCTGCCTCATGACAGGAGTGTTCTCTCTCAGCGACTCATCTGCACGCGGGGATGGCTCAGGCCATCTGTGGCCTGGACTTCTTCCCTCCTCACCCAGTCAGCTGCCAGGCTCCTACTAGCGTCATGGGGGAGGGAGGGACCATAGAGAGAGGCTGAGGCCCCAGCACCTCTGTGCTTCTCTCTTCTCCTCCAGAGCCCTCTCAGGCAACCAGGCTACCCCCAGCCAAGGCCATTCCCCATTCCCACTGCTGCCCAGGGAGCCCTCCAGCCTGGAGGACTCAGAGTTTCTAGCATAAGCTTCCACTTTTCTTCGTCAAAACAGCCTGGCCTTCAGCATCTTTCCAGGTGACTTCCTATCAGAAGAGCTGTGCCCAGGTCCCAGTTCTGTCTGCTGCAAGTCACACACCCACTCTGGCCTTTGACCTTCCTACCCCTAAAGTGGGTATATTAGATGGCATCATCTCATTTTTAACATTCAGTGGCCCCACATTCTTGTGTGAACCAATGTATTAACAATGGAGAATGCTTTACAGGGCAGTCCTCTCATCTGGATTTTAATGGGGGCATTTTTGCCTTAAACCCCAAAGAAATGGATCTCTTATAGGTAGAATAGAATGTCAGGTGCAGTGGCACTCTGAACCTGAGAAGAGAGGACTTCAGGATGTTCCCCGCATCATCCCAAAGTAGTCACATCTACTTCCTTGGTGTTCCTGGAGCATAAAGTACAAACCCGCCCCAGCAGACACAGACACATTCACACACACACAACCCACTCAGACCACAGAATATCAGGTACACATCTGTGGTTCTAACTCTGAAGGGGAAGAAGTTTCTAACAGGGCAGGGCTTGCTGGTGTCTGGGAGCTAAGCTTAGGGTGAAGCATGCCTGGCTCACCGCAGTGCTGCCGGTACACCACACCATTAGGTTGACTATCTTGACAGTCCTGCTCTGCCTTCAGCCCATCACTGGCTCATAACTGCCATTAGAATCTCCCCGGGCTCTGTGCTAGAGTTAAGCTCTTCTTGAAGCTCCAGATCCCTTCAGTCCACAGGAGCATTAATGAGCATAAGGGGCAGTAACTCAGAGTGCTTAAGAGTGTCTAATGGCATCGCACTTAGGAGGCTGGCAATGGTCTATGTGGCTAACAGTGATGCTTCCCACACGGATGGAGACCTGGGGAAACCATGGCTCCAGGAAGCATTTGGAGCATCAGGTGGGAGGAGCATCAAACCCCACATTGTAAAGTCATTATCTCACAAGAGAGTAGTTTTTTCCTCGATCTGTATCTAAATACGAGGTTAAAATGAGTGCTGGGTGGAGAAGGGAGCACACAACATTTAAGTCATTTATAGTTTACATTTTTACTGCACAGCAGAGATCGGCATCCATTTTCCATCTGCAATTAGAAGACGAAGCAGTCTGCCAAGCCTCTGTGTAAATTGTGCCTATTAAAAGAGTCTATGTCGTGCAATGATTGATCAGCACCAAGGATTTATTCACTGAGCTAACAGCAGTTTTTACTTTTGCCATTACCCAGGGTGATACATAACAATTTAGATAATGCACCCGGACAGACACATTTATAACCCTGGTGTCAGAGTCCTGCCTTGGAGGCTGGTGAGCCTAGGGGGAGGAGGAGATGCTGTTAGTGGTCAGACCAGAGAGCCCAGAGCCTGTCCAGCCTTGGGTCTGCCATCCCAGGACAGGGTATAATGGGAAGGCATGGGGAGAGAACTGCTGCCTGGTGCCTTAGCAGCGCACTGAGCTTGTCTACAGACAGGTCTCCCTCGCTCTCCTTATCTGTTAGTGGGAATAACACAGCTGTTGCAGGGATAGAAAGGGGGAGGTGGGAAGCTAAGACGAGAGGCATCGTGGTAGGTTTAGAGGTTGCAGTATTCATAAATGCATCTGTGTGCATGCAGGAGCGTTCCACCTGGGTACACACACATACATGGAACCCTCTCTCCATCCCTCCTGCACAAGCAATACATTTCGTCCCTTTAGCACAGGGTCCTCTCAAGGAGTCACCAGATAGTGTTTAACACCCATGCTGCGTTCTGGTGACAGGTACTGAACGTTTGCTTCTCAGCATTAGCAGCCTGCTCCTTGTGTCAGCAGGATCCTGGGTAATAGACCTCAGCAGGGGAACATGCCAGGCAAGGCACTCCTGATGGCTGTCCAGTGGGAGACAAGCCTCGTGGAGACACAGATGAGCTCCACGCACTCCCCGGGGACTCAACCAGTGCTCACCACCGCTAGTTGCTCCCATCTCCCAGATCTGTACTCCCTGGGCATCTCCCCCAGAAGATCCCAGAGGTTCTGCCCAATTGGACACGCCCCATAGAACATTCATCACCTTCCCTGACCCATTGCCTTCGTCTGCACCATCAGGCACTAGCATCCCCTGTGTACCCAAGCCAGAAAGTGAACCCACTCTGACTCTCATGAACTGGGTCCTGATTCCTTTTAGGGTTATTCTGCCTAAATATCTCTCCACTCTGGCCTCTCCTTTCCATCCCCACTGCCGCCACAAAATGTGCCACATCCCACCCAGATAAGTACACTTGTCCCCTCACCCCAATCTCCCTACACACAATCTGACCCGCCCAGCCCCTTTCGAAAATGCAAACCCAATCATGTGTTTCCTCTGCTTTAGACTCTTCACTGACTCTTGCCAAAATCAGCTTTGCCTGGAAATATGTCTGACAAACATTACTTAAAAATACCCAACGATACCATCTGTATTATTCTGGGTTTTCCAGAGAAGCAGAACCAATAAAATGTGTGTGGTAAGAAAGAGCGAGAGAAAAGGAGAGATTTAATTTTAGAAACCAGGCTCCTGTGATTATGGTGACTCAAGGAAGAGCCCAGGTTGTAGTTCAAGTTCAAGGGACACTGTCTGACAGGAGTCCTTCTTACCCAGGAGAGGTCGATCTTGATTCTATTAAGGCCTTCAAATGACTGGATGAGGCCCACCCACATTACAGAAGGTAACCTGCGTTACGCAAAGTCTACTGATTTAAGTGTTAATAACGTCTAAAACACACCTCATAAAAACATTCAAAATGATGATGAGCACCTTGGCCCAGTTAAGAGGACACATGAAATTAACCATCACACCATCTTTTTTTAATAATAATGGGTCTGGGGCTTTGGGCAGCAAAGAGGCTTATCTCCCTCCTGCATGACCAGTGCTGACTCCTCTGAGTGGTTTGAAGCAGAGGAAGCCAGATCTTTAGAGCTGAGGTGACTCCCAGGATCATCTGCTTAGAATCTCTCTTGAAGCAATGGGAAGAGGGGCCCAGCATCAAGGTCCCATATATGTGTAATAATCCATTAACTGGGAAGGCAAGATGTGCTGTGCATCCAATCAGTAAGTATTTAAAATGTGAGTAACATTAGAGAAGATGTAAGTTGAGCAACCCCTACAATGCAGTATTTACCAATGCGTACTTGCTGAGCGGAACCCAATACCTACTGAGTGCCAGGCCCTGTGCTGTACATGTGACACAGTCATGTGTGCGGTGTGTGTGTGTGTGTGTGTGTGTGTGTGTGTGTGTGTGTGGACTTGGGGCGGATGAATGAGGATGATGAAGGGAACCAGCCCCTAAGATCCCTCCCCAACTTGGAAACGCAGCTGTTTACACACAAACCATGTCTTACTCTGCAGATGAACACCAGAGGCACATGGAAATGACCCACTGGAGGTCACACTGCACTAAGTGGGAGCTCGGCCTTGAAACTGAGCTAACCTACAAACTACCCACTGTTTTCTACCCTTTTCCTCCCATGTTCCTCCTCAGAGACCCTCAAGGGAGGCAGAGATATACAATCTGCCTTATGCAGCAGGCTGTGGTCCTAGAAGAGGGCACGCCTTGGGCTTGTTCAGATCCAATGCCTTCCTAGCTGCTATGCAAGTTTCTAAGGACAGCCAGCCCCTGTGCTCAAGAGGAACTTCCATCAGCAGAGACTGCTATAATATTGCTGCTCCTGGAGTATGGCAAAATGCCTCCCCTCAGGCCTGAGGATTCATTTAAAGGAGCAACAAGTGGGTTTACATCTGACGATTAGGTAAAAATGAATTAGAAGCATTATGTCACATTAAAAGCATCTTCCAGATGCATAAACATGGCGACCACAGCTGATCACTCAGCCACTACAATGAGAGGTAAGAAGAGAATAATATTTCTCTTTTAAAATGTGGAGAAAATGGGTACCCTGAAGTTGTGCCTTATAATTTTTGTTCCATTTCTGAGACTCAAAAGAACAATGAGAACACATGGACACAGGGAGGGGAGCACTACACACTGGGGTCAGGTGGGGGGAAATAGGGGAGGGACGGGGGGGGGTGGGAAGCTGGGGAGGGATAGCAGGGGGAGAAATGCCAGATGTAGGTGATGGGGAGAAAGGCAGCAGATCACACTGCCAGGTGTGTTCCTATGCAACAATTTTGCATGTTCTTCACATGTACCCCAAAACCTAAAATGCAATAAAATAAATAAATGGGAAAAAAAAAAAAAAAAAGCTAATTCCAAAAAAAAAAAAAAAAAAAGAACAAAGCCCTCTATTCCTTTCTTCCTTAGAAACAAAAATAGACTATACTGGTCTGGTCTGCAGAGGCACCAAGATGATATCTTCCTCCACTGTCAGACTTATTTAGGAAAAACAATCTCTGGCATAGGCCAAGTGCTCATGAATACTCCAGGATGAGGCAACAAAGCCGCTCCAGGCCCTGGCAGGGCCGCACCTCAGGACACTGACCTGTGCACATGCAGGTCCAAGCAAAGGCCTGAGTCAGGCCTGTGGCCAGCTTCTGCTTGTGCAGGAGGCTCTAAAATGAAGAAATCATACTCCAGGTCTCCTTCCACTTTGTTGCCTCCCCTCATCTTGGAAAGGAGTTACTCCACTCCAAGGGTTGAAAGGCTAACGGGCTTCACTGCCCACCTCAATCCCACATAGTGCCTTGGGCCTACTTGATTTCCACTGTATGCACGGTCCTGGAGATGTGCATTCAGTGGAACCCAGCTAGGCTCAAGAGATGTGCCTGGAGATGGAGGGGCACTTGGCTCAGCTCAGGCTCCCAAAGAACTTTGCATGGGGCTGGTGGGACCAATGTTGAAACCACATAGTCAACGCTCCTGGAAGGTCAGTGGCAGGTGTTATCTCAGCATCCCTAGATCCAGGTCCAGCCCTTTGCAGGCCTTCCTCTCTGTGGCTATGTCTATCCAACCCATACTCCTTGCTTTCAAAACCCTTCAGTGACCACCCCTCTGACCAGCACTTCCCAACCTGCCTGTGTCACAGCATGCATAGGAAACCATGACCTCTGTGTGGTGCAGCAGCTTAAACAGGAGGCTGTTTTTGCCTGGAGACTTACCTGCCCAGGCTCAGGCCATCTCCAGGGCTGAGAGGTCAAGCCAGCACATATGTCATCAGCTGAGAGCACACTAATAGGACTTCCAGACATGTAACAAGATCCATAATGAGCCATACAACTACATGGGACCAGGACACACCACAAGCACATAACTGAAACACAGCTACCATGAAAGAGCACTCTAACTGCATGTGCTGCTCTCTGATATTCTATTCTAACCTACAACTGATTCTTGAACAACT